CAGACAATTTCATCAATACTGCAGTGGCGGTTTCCTTCTTGACTACCAAGGCTCTTCATTAAATATGAATGAATGGTAGTAGAAGGCAGAGTATATTAAATGAAATTAATAATGTAACATTGTAACAGCCAAAGCCATTCATAATTGTAATTACTTTTTAGGAAAAGCTTTCTGCAAATGCAATTTCAAGTTTGCCAAAAACCATTAATGACAGCTTTTCCTTCTAACAAATACATGGATGGTTAAATGCATGAATTCTACCCCACAGCATCACTGCCTTCTCTCCATTCACAGGCCACAACCCTAGCTCAAACCTCATCACCTCTCCCACTGGCTATTACAATAGCCTTTTTATTTAGTCTCCCAATTCCAGGATGTCCCATCTCCAATTAGCTCCAAAGTAGCTAGGTGGTATAGTGGTGAATCACTTCAGAGATGGTGGAGCTCTGGGCCTACACTCAAGAAGACCTGAGTTCAAATCCAGCCTCAGACACCTAATAACTGTCACCTTGGGCAAGTCACTTAGCCTTAGTTTGCCTTAGTTTCTTCAGCTGTGAAATAGGGCTAATAGCACCTACCTCACAGAATTATTGTGAGGATCAAATGAGATAATATTTATAGAATATCTGGTGTGCTACATAAATGCTAGCTATTCTTACTAATCCACCTTCCACAAAATAATCTTCCTAAGATAAAGTCTGATCATGTCACTCTCCTGATCAAAGATCTTCTGTGGCTCCCCATTGCCTGTAGGACAAACATAGGAAAGGCTTTCCACCATCTAGCTCCAATCAACCTTTCAGGTTTCCATTACTCCTCTTCACGTTTTAAAAATTTCAGGCACACAGTTCTACTGGCTGCTCCATGAGTTCAAGATCCCATCTCTGTAAGAGATTTAGAATGGATTTAGAATGAGGACTTGAGTCCCAGCTCTGCATGACCTTGGGCAAGTCACTTAACTTCAGGGGTCCTCAGTTCTTCATCTGAACAAACGAAGGGACTGGATTAGATGGTCTCTAAAGTCACTTCTAGGTCTAGATCTATGAGCCTTTGATCTCTATATCTGCATGACCTTTGCTCTCTGCCTGTAGTGGACTGGTTTCCTCTGCTTGGCTTTATAGAATCTTTATCTTCTTTCATGAATTGACTCAGATGCCACCTCCTCTGGTAAGCATTTCTTGATCCCCAACCCTAAGGCGTTACTACTTTCTACTTCTTCAAATTACCTTCCATTGAGCCAAAGTTTCCTGATCTAAATCCAAATATGGCTTAGTAGACAAGTCTTAGAGAGTTGCCCGAGGCCCAAAAAACATGAAATGATTTGCCTGAGGACACAGAGCAATTGTGTCAAAGGCAGAATTTGAACCCAGTTCTTTCTAACTCTTAAATCCATTTCTCTTCACTTTATCAAGCTGTCTCACTTTTATTTATCTATGTACAAATTATAGCACTCCCACTCACTCCACCACTACTGCCATTAGATTGTAAGTATATATAGTATACACACACACACACACACACACGTATGTATGGATACACACATTTTTATATGCACATACACACACACACATACATATATATATATATATCCCCAATGCCTGACAGTGCTTTGCATACAGTAGTTACTTAATAAATACATCTTGAATTGAATTAAATACATGCATATGCATGCATAGCTGTACATGTGGTGTATTTTTGCCATTTGAATCCTATTATAACTGTATTAGACCTTTAAATGAACCCTTTTGTAAATCAAAGAATCTGCTTTAGAATGAGAATTTTTCCTTCAGTTTTTTTTGTTTATTATTCTTAACATTCTTTTCTTTTTAAATTTTGAGTTCCAAATTCTCTTCCTCTCTTCAACCCCCTCCCCCATCCACTGAGAAGGCAAGAAATATGATATTAATTATATGTGTGAAATCATGCAAAACACACTTCCATGTTACAAAAAAAGGAAGAAAAATAAAGTGACAAAATTATGCTTCAATTTGCACTTAGAGTTCATCAGTTCTCTCTCTGGAGGTGGATAGCATTTTTTTTTTCGTCATGAGTCCTTTGGAATTATCTTGGATCATTGTATTAATCAGAGTGGCTAAGTCTTTCACAGTTGATCATCATTACTTTGCTGTTCGTGTGCACAATGATCTCCTAGTTCTTCTCTCTTCACTTTGCATCAGTTCATATATGTTTTGCCATGTTTTTCTGAAACCACCGCCTCATCATTTCTACAGCACCATAGTATTCCATTACAATCATATACTAAAACTTGTTCAGTCATTCCCCAATTGATGAACATCTCCTCAATTTGCAATTCTTTGCCACCAGAAATAAAGCTGCTATAAATATTTTTGTATGTATCCTTTTTCTTTTTCTTTTATCTCTTTGTACACAAACCTAGTAGTGGTATTACTGGGTCAAAGAGCATGCACAGTTTTATCGCCCTTTGGGCATAGTTCCAAATTGTTCTGTAAAATGGTTGGACCAGTTCACTATTCCACCAACAATTCATTAGTGTACCTATTTTCCCCTTACTCATTTCAATATTTGTCATTTCTGATAGGTGGAGGTAATACCTCAGAGTTGTTTTCATTTGCATTTCTCTCATCAATAGTCATTTAGAGTATTTTTCATATGACTATAGATAGCTTTGATTTCTTCTTCTGAAAACTGCTTTTGACCATTTATCAATTGGAGAATGGCTCTTATTTTTAATGTATTTGATTCAGTTCTATACTTAGTATACTTACTTAGAAATACACTTAGAAATATACCTAGAAATGAGGTCTTTATCAGAGAAACTTGCTTTAAGTTTTTTGAAATAACTTCATTATCTATGGTACCTTTTAGCAAAATGTAGTTTCCCTGATTATCTCTTTTAATTGGGTCTGTCTTTGCTTTTGTTTTGCCTGAGATCATGACTGCTACCCCTGACTTTTTTATTTCAGCTCAAGTGCATGAGATTCTGCTCCAGCCCGTTATTTTAACTCTGTATGTCTTTCTGTTTCAAGTGTGTCTTTTATAAACAACATATTGTTGGATTCTGGTTTCTAATCTATTCCTCTGTTTCTGTTTTATGGGTGAAATCATCCAATTCACATTCATAGTTATGATTACTGTACATTTCCCTGCATCCCATTATGTTCTGTTTCTCTCTCTCTCTCTCTCTCTCTCTCTCTCTCTCTCTCTCTCTCTCTCTCTCTCTCTCTCTCTCTCTCTCTTTCTCTCTCTCCCTTAATCTTCCCTCCCCTTTATCATCCCCCTACACACACCTTTATCTTATCCTCTTCCTTTCCTATTTCCCTATTGGCTAAATTACATTTCTATACACAACTCTGTGTATGTGTATTTTCTTCCTTGTTTGAACCCATTCTAATAAGTAAGGTTCAAACATTGTCCCTCATTTCTCCCTCCATTGTAAAAACTATTTTATGCATGCCTCTTTTATGTGAGAAAATTTTCCTCATTCTACCTCTCCCTTCCCCTTTCTCCCAGTGCACCCCTTCCTCTCTTCATTTTTTTTTTTTGGACATCATTCCAACATAATCAACTAACACCCGTGCTCTCTGTCTATATAAATTCCATTTAACTGCCCTAATAATGATAAAGTTCTTAAGGGTTACATGTATCATCTCCTTATAAAGGAATGTTAACAGTTTAACCTCATCAAGTCCCTTATGATTACTCTTTCATGTTTACCTTTTTATGCTTCTCTTCAGTCTTGTGTCTGAATCAAATTTTCTATTCAACTCTGGTCTTTTCATCAGGAATGCTTGAAAGTCCTCTATTTCATTAAATATTTATTTTTCCCCTGAAGGATTACACTCAGTTTTGCTGGGTAGGTGGTTCTTGGTTGTAATCCTAGTTCCTTTGCCTTCCAGAATGTCATACTCCAAGCCCACCTTTAATGTAGAAGCTGCTAAAGACTAGCTAAAGCTAAAAGACTGTGGTTCTACAATATTTAAATTGTTTCTTTCTGGTTGCTTGAAGTATTTTCTTTTTGACCTGGGAGCTCGGGAATTTGGCTATAATATTCCTAGGACTTTTCATTTTAGGATTTCTTTCAGGAGATGATCAGTGGATTCTTTCCATTTCTATTTTACCCTCTGGTTCTAAAATATTTAGGCAGTTTTCCTGGAATATTTCTGGAAATGTGATGTGAAGACGCTTTTTTATCATGGCTTTCAGGTAGTCTAATAATTCTTAAATTGTCTCTCCTTGGTCTATTTTCCAGGTCAGTTGTTTTTCAATGTGATAGTTCACATTTTCTTCTATTTTTTTTTATTCTTTTGACTTTGTTTCATTGTTTGTTGATGTCTCATGGAGTCATTAGCTTACACTTGCTCAATTCTAATTTTTAAGGAATTATTTTCTTCAGTGAGCTTTTAACCTCTTTTTCCATTTAGCCAATTCTGCTTTTTAAGGAGTTCTTTTCTTCAATGAATTTTTGTACCACCTTTTCCATTTGAACTATTCTGCTTCTTAAGGAGTTTTTTTCAGTGAATTTTTGTGCCTCTTTTATCATTAGGTCAATTCTGTTTTTTAAGGCATTGTCTTCTTCAGTATTTTTTGTGCCTCTTTTATAAAACTGTTATATTTTCATAATTTTCTTACATTATTCTCATTTCTTTCCCAATTTTTCCTCTACCACTCTTATCTCTTTCTTTAACTCTTCCAGGAATTCTGGTTGGGCTTGGGTCCAATTACTTTTTTCTTTGAGGCTTTTTTTGCAGCTGTTTTCACATTGTTGTCTTCTTCTGCGTATATGTCTTGGTCTTCCCTAGTCTTTTATGGCCAGGCTTTTTTTTCTTATTGTTGTTTGCTCATTTTTCCAGCCTATTTCTAGACTTTGAATATTATGTTAAATTTGGGCTATGTTCCCATCAAATTCTACTTCTGATGTTTGCTACTTATATGGTCTTGGACAAGTCTCTTAATCTCTCACAGGGTTTTTATCTGTAAAATTAGGAGTTCAGACTAAATGGCCTCTAATGTCCCTTTCAGTTCTAGATCTGCAAATTTCTAAAATTTGTTTATATGTTGTATTCAATGAGTAGAATATAAGTTCCTTGACAGACAGACATTGTAGCATAGTAGATAGGTAATGGCCTTAAAATCAGGAAGATTTGAATTCAAGTTCCACCCATCCCACATGTTGGCTCTCTGGTCCTGGATAACTCATTTAATCTCTTATTCTTTAGGTTGCAGAAAAGGTGCCAACCTGCATTGGAAGAGTTAGTTCCTCCCGGTAACAAGAATATCACAGAGCCAGTACCCATCCACTCACCGGGATGTATAGTTCTTTAAGGCAGTTCTTAGTTCTCAGTTCTTAGTTTGTCTTTGTATATCCTTTGTATATCAACATCTAGTACTACACACCTTGCACGTTTTAGGTGCTTTAATAAATGCTCATTGGGTGGGATTGCTAGTAAAGTGGTATAAAAAGGGAAATAACAAATATAGAACAGTAGAGTTGCATCAAATGAGAAGACTGGGCCAAGTGGCTGCCTTAGCAATAACTTCTACGCACTAAATAAATGGAATCATTGCTCTGAAAATCCCACAGGTCAGCTTGCGTGTGAAGCCTACAGCTATGCAGTAAAACAAGGATTGATTCCAGGATTCAAAGTGTCTGGAACAAGAAGGCTAGGGAAAAGGTTGATGAATGAGTAAGAGAGGGTGAATGGAAGACTTTCTCTCTTGTGTCTCTAAATACAAATGTTTCATTTCCTAAAGAAGCCAGGCCCCCATGAGGAAAAAAAAAGCCTTCTGGAACTGAGAGAAAGGGGCCCTTTGGCTTTTGTGTTACAGATCCTGCATTTCAGAATAAGATCTGTGACTCACAGAACACAAAAGCTGGAAAGGACCAAAAAGAGCATCTTCCCCTCTCACTCCACAGAAGTGAAAACTGAAGCCTCGAGACTGGGATTCACCTACTCTTGTTCACACAGTTAGTGGCAAAGCTGGGACTGGAATCCAATTCTTCTGACTCCAAAACCAGGGAGGCTTCACCATCCCATGCTGCCTCCTTGCTCATATCCTTTTCTGTCTGGGTCCAAGTAATGAGTGGCGACAACAGATGGGAAATACGGAGAACTCAGTGTGTGGGAGCCTCCTGTGACTGGCTTATTCCTTTTCTCCTCTTGTTAGCTTTTTTCATTTGGGCCATTGGGCTTCATTCCCACTGACATCCAGACCTGGGAGATAGGGAACAGAAATACCAGTTAAGAATCATATCAAGATGTGATTTCAGCCACTTGTAAGGGCATAAAGGGCTTTATCCATCTAGAATGTTGGTTTGTCTAGATAAAAGCCTCTCCTCTTTAGAAGCAGAGTGCTTATCACCTATAAGCTGCCTTGTGGAGAAAGGCCCCAAGGCACAGAGCCTACACAGAGAAATATCTCCTTATTATGCCAGTGCTTCCCACTCAGGGAGAAAAACCCAAAGACATCTCTCCAGATTTCCATCTGTAAGGGGGAGGCCAGGGGAGAGTGTCAGACAGGGCCTGACCTGCCCTTAGCCTCAGGAGCTCTGGGGATAAGAAAGCATGATTCTTTTGACTATGTGAGCCTCAGAAAGGTGAGAATCCTGTACTCTTGAGTTGTGTGAATATCCTCTTATTAGTCAGGGAGCAGAGAAAGGTGATAATTAAAGAAGTGACTCCATCTCTGGTTTTTCTACCTTTGACTCCTCTCTGGGGGCAAGTGAGGTCCCTTTCAGTAGAGCTCATTGTGTAACACAAATTCTACCTAAGCTGGTGGGAGGTGGACAGTCCTAGGTTGTGATTCCAGATTGATGGAGAGAATGATGTTACCAGTCTGTGTGATCCCGTGAGGGATAGAATTGTTGCAGTCTAGAAGTGCTGGGAACCCTGAAATTCAAGGGCAAAAGGTGCGAGTCCTGCCTCGAAAGAATTCGACTTAAACCTTCATTGTCAGAGAAAAGGTTTATTGTTGCACCAATAGAAGCAGGCAGGACTTTTAAGAACCTGCACTATTTGTGAGGCTCTTATTGACAAGTGGGCCAGACTCTTAAGGAATCTGAGCAATTTGATGGACAAGATTGACCTTTTTTATAGTGTGGCCAATAGCTTGGGATGACTGGGAGATAACCGAGAAGGGGTCTAGATGGGATTAAGTAGTAGGGGTCTAGGGTGAGGCCAGGGACAGACAAAGAGGGCCACAATGAAAGGGCAGTTGAAAGGATTATTAACCTAGTGCCCCAGGTGACCTTCAGAGACCTGGACCACGTGGGAAAGTCCAGGGCCTTATAGGGGTCCATTATTAGCATCCCATCAGAATTGATGCAAAAATTTTAGAGAGGAGGAAAGTTCTTCATTCCTTCTTCAAGAGAGCTTGCAGACTCTCTTCAGGAAGAGACCCATGGAAAGAAAGAAAAGACTTTGGATGAAGCAGGCATGTAGGAAAAGCTGGATTCTCAACATGTCCCTATTTCCAGCTTGCCTTCCTAGATACTCCTTAGAGGAAATTCCATTTGAGTGAGATTGGGGCCTGTCTCTTGGAGAAGCTGAGATAGCTCACTCTCAGGAAAAAAGAAAAGTTCATTCACTTATATTTTCTGAGATTTTCTAATCTGCAGAACTCTAATTTCTTCTTGCTATCTATTTAAATGAGTTTATTCTCTATTCACTGTTTACCATGTGTAATAAGCATTTGGTGGGAAGGAGTCAAGTCTGAAGGTGCAAGCTTTGGGTGCTTTCCACCTTTAAGAGACAGTGACCAGGGAAGGTAGCGGTCTTTTGCTTTCGAACCTTAAAAAATAAATCATATCTCTAGGCCAGCAATATTTTGTCATTCAGTTGTGTCTAATTCTTTGTGGCCCCATTTAGGGTTTTCTTGGCAAAGATACTGGAGTGGTTTGCCATTTCCTTCTCCAGCTCATTTTACACACCTGGCAACTGAGGCAAACAGGATTAAGTGTGCCCAGGGTCACACAGCTAGTAAGTGTCTCAAGCCAGATTTGAACTCAAAAAGATAAGTATTCCTGAGTTCAGTCCTGGCACTCTATCCACTGTGCCACTTAGCACCTCTAGCAATATTTAAGGGGACAAATAGTTATATTTCTAATCTGACACCCCTTCTCTCAGAGGAGAACTGAGTGGCCAGACTCAGAACCCTTTCTGCTCCCCTCCAGGCAAGAATCAAAGTCTCTCTTGGAAAGGAATGGCCAAGATTCCAGAGATACTTATTCATGCCTCCTTACCAGCCATATTTGGACAAATCATATGGACACCATAACCTGCGTGGGCAGCACACATCATACACTTTTGAGAAGATGGAGCAATGTCCTTTTTTCCTAGTCTGAGCAGAAGTGGCATACATCTTAGCCAATGGCAGCTACAACATATGTCCTATATAGCCACACCTAAGACTAGATCTCAGGACACTTCTGTTCTAAGACACCCTCCCCCTGTTTTGTTAGAATAGGTGAGCAAAAATCAATCAGTTAAAAAGAGCCTATTACGTGACAGGCACTGTGTTGGGTGACACCATCCCTACTAGCAAGGAATTTAGATGCTCAAGAGGAACACAGCATAAATAGAAATTTTATTAATACAAACATATAAAAGCCATTAAATATAAAGCAGGTTGAGGAGGGCATTAGTAGTTGAGAGACCAGGAAAGGCTTTGTGTAGCAGATGGTATTTGAGCTGTGTCTTAAAGAAAGATGACTCCATGAGTCAGAAACAAGAATGGAGCTCATCCCAGCCATGGGAGATGGCCAGTATCAAGATAGGTATGTACAGGCTTAGAGAAGACCTTGGGAGTTTGAGAGGGACTGAGGTCCTACATCCATCAGATGGAGATGATTGGTGGCAGGGAATGTTTCTACGATGGAGAAGCCAAACTTTGGCTTTGTTGGCCAGCAGATATGGAGGACACTAAAGGGACAGTGCAGAGCCTATTCAAAAAATCCCACAGATTGCTTTATGTTCGTTCTGATTGAGGTTTCAGCATAATCCTCCCTGGGGAATATAACAGTAGTTATGAGTTAAGTTACTAAATCCCATTTCATCTTCCCTTCAACATGCACATGTGTCATATTTAGCCATTTTTGTGTATGTAGGAAATCAGTCCCTGTCCCTAATTCTTATTGTACTTCTCCCTCCTTTAGAGGGGCCTTAGACAGGAGCCAAAAAATTAAGCCTTCTACAATTTTTCCCCAGGGCATGGTGGAGGTGGAGATTGGAGGGTGAGAAGGTGGGAAGGGGAGGTTAGAAGAATGTGAGAAAAAGGAATCTGGCCCTCTTATAAGTGTTCAGTTCTACCACACTGCCAGAAAGTTCCCCACCCCCATGTACTGAATCTAATCTAGAATGGGTACCTGGGTCCAGAGCACAGGGGAGCCTTTAGTGGAAAGGCAAAGGAAGTTTTCCCAAGCAACAGTTATTAATGTTAGACATTCGTAACACCCTATTACAATAATTAACTCATTTTAAGCCACAGGAGCAATAAAGAGGTCTCCAAGGTCTACTTGCTTCCCTCTTCTTTAAGGAATTTATTTTAGATAAAAAGCTCTGAGTTCAGTCACAATGGCACTGAGGCCCTCAGTGAGGAAAATTTCTCATATCAAAGTAGATATATTGGGCTTTCTGCCTAGCCTTACATTTACATCTGTCTTTAGTTAATTAATCCCTGGCATCTTTGCGATTAAAGCAAAATTCAGCGTACTGGAAACATGGGGTAATAAAACAACAGATTATATCATAGCGTTTGTGGATAGACAAGCAGGAGGAAGGTAGGTTGGGGAAAGAGCTGACCTTTTCTTGGGTCTTCCCTAAGCCTAAGCTCTCCTCTCTGAAGTGGATCTGTCTCTCTGTGATGCCTATGGAGCTAATGATTTTCCCTGATTAATACTTCCCTTTTCTGCCATAGCTCAATCTTCCTTTTGCTTCATTCTTGCTGCAACCTAGAATTTAGATTCGCAGAACCCCAGGTCTCTCCCCTACCTCCTCAACATTCTGGGATAGCTTCTCCCTTTGAGAAAACTGCCAAGGGTATATATGACCAGTCTCTTACATAATGGCTCTGATTGATTCAAGGAGGTGCAGTTCCTACCTAGTCCAGGCCCCAGTCCTTATACATATGTCTAAACTTGGTCTGGTCCTGGTCAATCCAGATATGTAACCCTGAACCAGCATGAGAAACAAGACTTTATCACTCATACTTCCCCAGGTCAAATGGAACACTGCCCAAAGCTCACCTAAGAAATGCTGCAAAACTTTTATTCTCAGGCATCCTTACAAATACAGTTTGGGCCCATGACAATCCTTCCCTCAAGACTGCAACAATCTTACCAGATCAATACCATCTACTGGCCCACAATATTCCAACCAGACCATTACATTCCTGTCAACCCTTCTGTGGTGGTAGAAATAGGCTCCTGTGAGATTTCCTTTCTTTTGAGACAGGCTTTGCACTGTCCCTCCAATGTTCTCCATATCTGCTGGCCAACAAAGCCAAAGCTTGGCTTCTCCATCTTAAAAACATTCCCCGACACCAATCATCTCCATTTGAGGTTAAGGGTCACACAGCTGGCAAGTGTCAAGTGTTTGGTCTGAGGCCAGATTTGAACTCAGCTCATGATTTCTTTGTAAACCTTAGAACTGCCCCAGAAATGCCAGTTATTGTTATCAGATCTGTAATTTCAGTGACTTGGATATTCTCTCCAAAGACACAGGTCGTAGCAGGTCCATGCCTACCCATCCTGGGTAACTCTTCTCCATGTTCTCCTATAAGTGTGCCACAGAGGGTCCACCCAAAGTGCTGGGGCCTTCTCTCTTTCTCCTGATATGTCTGGGACACCAACGGAGCACTAGGTCCACCTGTCTTTTCAAACTATTTTCACAAGACCAGCCCATCTTTTTCTTTTAATAGTTCCCTAATGACCTCCTTTACTCCAATTCTTTGAAATTCCTCCTTTGTTAGATGCCACAGCCTACTCACAAGCACCGTGTGCCTCTCCATCACACTCTGTATAATATTTGTTTTCTATTCTTTGGTAGCTCCCTTCAGGATTCATCTCCAGTATCACCTCCTACAAGAAGCCTTTCCTGATTTCCCCAGTTTTTTAGTGCTTTCCTGGACACACATTCAAACAATTTTGTATTTACTTCATATATTTTTGTACTTTCTTATCTGTGTACATGTTGTCTGCTGACCCACCCCCACCAGT